GTGAGGACCCGTGATCTCATTCCGGAGGAGAAGATGCCGTTCCCTGAAGAATGGAATTTTGACTGTAAGTGATTTTTGTTCATTTTGCATGTCCTTTTCCGATTTTTTCTGATGTCCTTCCCTGATGTTCAGCTGCCCCTTGGATGCCACAAGCGGTGCCTGACCTCGAGGACTGGGTTCGGAAGTTAGCCTCGACCTCCTCTTACGCCGAGCGCGCTTGGCGCGATTTGGCAAAAGGCAGATGGGAGGCCAAGAACTATGGTGAGGTTTGCTTCTTGTTTCCTTCGAAGTATTCTTTGCGTTCTATTCGTTACCGATTTCCTTTTGTGCAGGCGTAACCAGGGATGCCGCTTTGAGGCCTTCGAGCGGTGAAGAAGGAAACAAGTCCCAAGTCCCTAAACAATGTCACACCCCGAGGCCTATGCTTTGCCTCAATTTCGCCTTTTAAACAATAAATGAGAAGATGTGACTAAAACAATGTGCAAGCAGATATGCGCTTGCATGTTTATTTATTCACATCAATTCAGTTGATAATCCTTGGTCATCCACAACCAATCCTAAGTTGTGCATCCGAATAAACATTGACTGTTACTCTTCACAAACTTGGTAAGTTAGGTTTACTGATTTGAACATTAATGATATGTATTTCTAAGAAAGCTCGAGTATTTGCTAGCTTGTCCCATGTGCCGCTCTCTGGAAAAAAAAAAGCACCCAAATATCTATATGCGTGCAGTTTTAGCTGATTTGTGGTGGCTAGGAAGTAAAAGACCACCTATAACTAGGATGTGTGTTCCAGTAAGATAGATAGCTGACTAGTTGGTTTGCCCTGTAAATTTTTAGATTTGTGATTTCTCTACTGATGAAGTGAGTAGTGAGTGTTAGTTCTTGGAAATTATTTCTCTCGCAAATGAAACTGAAGTCTTTAGCAGAATACTTTAGTTTGTTCCTCAAATTAGAATTAGTTAGCCTTGATTCTCATTTAATTGGTGTTTTGATCTGTGTTCATTTCCTTTCTGCAGCTCTTTGGTTTAAAGAAGGTGAATTATGTGCATGGGCAGCAGTTCAAGAACCTTGGTTGATGGAATAATATCTTAGCTTTATAGGGTTCTTCATCAAGTTTTGGAGGTTTGAGCTTAACTGTAAGAGATGGACAGTAATGGAGTATCAGTTATTCGGTGTTTGTAATTCAAAAATACAAGCACTGTAATTGTATCATTTTCGTCAGGGTTTGGGCTGTTTATATAAAGAGGGTTACTAGTGGATTTTTCCAACTTGATGTCAAACTGGAGAATTAAATTTGTAACTGTTATTTTGGTTGTTAATTCATTGTAGTTATCAAAAGTACTCTAGATGTTCCTCGCAAATGGAAGAGAGAACACAGTAGCAGCAAAGTCCACATTCTCCTTCTGCTTCATTTATTATAGATTCTGGTACTGCACCCATTTCTCCTTGTTCTTTCCCTTTATCCACAGTGCTGGTTTGCGGATAGTAACAATACAATAATTTGTTTTGATTCAATCCCCCAAAAAGGTCCCCAAGGATATTCAAAGAAGAGAGAAAAATTAATAGGATTGTAAAAGGTAGCCTTATTTTTAGGCTTTTTATTTGTGAGCCTTGTTGGCACATTTGGAGCCTTTTATTTAAGGCCTTGTTGGCCAAATAAATGGCCTTGTATTTTGAGAGGATGTGGCCAATTGTTGGCCAAACATTTCTTTCTTCTTTTCCTATATAATGAGGACTCTTACTCATTTGAATACACACCAACAAGACTTGAGTCTTTATTTCTTGTTTCTTACTTTCCTCCTTTATTAAGAGTATTTTGTATGAGAGCTAAGTGTTGGGAAGAACTTGTATGAACCCTTCATTTGGAGTGATATTGTGAGATTATTCTCTTAGGGTATTTGGGATTAATTTTGAGTATTTATTCTAATTTTGTACACATATTGGTATAGTGAAATTGCTCCTCTTCGCTTGTGGACGTATGTCACATTGACTGAACCATGTTAAATTGGTGTCTTCTTTATCTACTTTAATTGCCGTTATTATCAACTTGCATTGTCTTTGTTATTGTCACTATAAAGTTGTTTGGCTAAATTCCGCACTACCCGAGTTCCCGATCCTAACAAATTGGTATCAGAGCCGGATCTAACCGGGTTTATTTCAGTAACCAATATGACTTTAACAAAGACTTATGTTGAAAAATTTGATCGAAGTGTAAACTTCGGAATGTGGCAATTAAAGATGGAAGTTATCCTAATTCAGGATGGCTTAGATTTGGCATTGCAAGAAAATGAGAAGAAGTCGAATAAAATGACGGATGAAGAGTTTACCGTCATAGACAAAAGGACAAAAACATGTATCATTTTAAATCTCTCAAATGAGGTTTTACGTGAAGTTTCTACAGAAACCATAGCCAAAGGCATATGGGAAAAATTGAAAACTTTATATATGAAGAGGACGGTGGAAAATAGACTTTACCTGAAGCAGAAGCTGTATACAATTCGTATGGGTGAAGGTACTTCTATTCTCTCTCATCTTAACACCTTTTATTTCATTCTTATGGATTTGAGTAATATAGATGCTGAAATTAAAGATGAGGATCAAGCCGTGTTACTACTTTGTTCTCTACCCCCATATTTTAAGCACATAAGAGATATTATGCTTTATGCAAAGTATAATATCTCTTATAAGGATATAAATCTATCTTGAAATCAAAAGAACAGATAGATAGTGATATTACTTGTGAAGATAGTGGAACTCAAGTGGAAGTTGGCTTGTTTGTTAGGGTCAAATCCGACTCTATATCCAGATACAATAATTTAAAGTATCGCTATTGTCATAAGAAAGGTCACATTATCTCTGAAAGCTATAAACTGAAAAATAAAGAAAAGCATAAAGAAAGAAAAAATGAGCACAAAAATATTGACACCGCCGAAGCTAGTGTAGCAACTGATGAGATTGAGGGAACTATATTTTGCAACTAAAACTAGTTTCAGATTAGACAATGAGTGAATTTTAGATTCCGGTTGTTCATATCATATGTGTCCTAGCAGGGATTTATTTTCTACATATGATTCAGTTGCAGGTGGAGTTGTCCAACTAGGTAACAATGTTACTTGTAACGTTATTGGGAATGGTACAATTCAGATCAGAATGCACGATGGTGTGGTGAGAACTCTCATTGATGTTAGATATGTTCCTGAGTTGAAGAAAAATCCCATCTCTTCGGACACTTTAGAATCCCTTGGGTGCAAATTCACTGGTGAAGATGGAGTTCTAAAAAATTTTCAGGGTGCTCTTGTGATCATAAAAACACACAGATCTGGTTCGTTGTATACTTTATTGGGATCTACTGTTACTACAGTTTCAGTATCAGACAACTTGTCTGATTTTGATGGCATTAAATTTTAATATATGCCTATTGGGGCTTTTGCGGAGAAGGTGAAGCAAATTTACTATATCATCCAAAATTAGGCCAAGGTGGAGATCTGTAAAAGGTGGCCTTATTTTTAGGCTTTTCATTTGTGAGCCTTGTTGGCACATTTGGAGCCTTTTATTTAAGGTCTTGTTGGCCAAATGAAGGCTTTGTATTTTGAGAGGATGTAGCCAATTGTTGGCCAAGCATTTCTTTCTTCTTTTCTTATATAATGAGGACTCTCTACTCATTTGAATAAACATCAACAAGACTTGAGTCTTCATTTCTTGTTTCTTATTTTCCTTCTTTATTAAGAGTATTTTGTATGAGAGTTAAGTGTTGGAAAACACTTGTGTGAACCCTTTCTTTGAAGTGATCTTGTGAGGTTATTCTCTTAGGGTATTTGGGATTAAATTAGAATATTTACTCTAATTTTGTACTCTCTTTTGTACTCTTATTGATATAGTGAAATTGCTCATCTCCGCTTATGGACGTAGGTCACATTGACCGAACCACGTTAATTTGGTGTCTTTTTTATCAACTTTAATTGTCGTTATTATCAACTTGCATTGTCTTTGTTATTGTTATTATAACGTTGTTTGGCTAAATTCTGCACTACCCGAGTTCCCGATCAGGATGATTCACCCAAAAAAATGCAATAGCTTATATGAAGTTGCCCGATATGAACGTACAGGCGGTAACACCCTTCACCTTGGTTCAAAAACCTTCCCTCTTGCAGTCTTTTCCTCTCAAGAATAGTTCTATTACACTTCAAATATTCAACGAGGAAAAACTTCACTGACTCAACAAGTATGCTTGAAGAGGAATGTAAACTATGTGAAATAAACATAACATGCTGTCCTGATCAGTAGGAGGCGGCGGCTGAGTTTCTAGCCTTGAATATAAACAATAAATCACTTCTCTACAACTGCAATTCCATTCTCAAGAGTTGCTTCCTGGTAAAATGGTCCGGAAGTTACCGCACCTGGCACTTAAATTAAGAGCAAGGTTTCTGTGGAGCGTATAATTGAATATTGAATGAGAGAATGGAGAAGAAATTCCAAGAATGAGTTATTGTATCCGATCTCCCGATTTATGTACCTTGCTTCTGATTGTCACTGCCCTGCATGTTGCTTTGCATTTCAAGCAGCTTGTGTTGCTCCTCCTCATCAGCTACTTGTGGATTTACATCTTTCATGGCCTTGGGCTTGTTGCTTGTGGACTGCTGGTACATAATGCCACCAGACATGCAGATCAACAGCCCCAGTGTTCCGATAAGTTTGGAGTGTTTATCCCATATAACTAGATTTATCACCACTGTCAAAAGTTTGTTTACAATGCCAAGAACAGTAAATCCTGTTGCAGAGATTGTTCTACGGCAAGAAAATCCAAAGAAGGATATTGCTAAACCAAATAAACATGACAGGGCTACTGGTAACACCACTTGAAAGCTATGCCAATCAGACTCGTCGTCAATTTCACGTTTAATCTTCTTCAATTCACCCATTATAAGTAACTCTATAGGAAAGAGAAGCAATGCCTCAAGATTGTTGTACAGCACAAGACCCCATGTGTTTAGACCAATTGTCATAACCACGTGCTTGATGTAAACAAAATCAATAGACATGCTCACTAAATAGGCCAAGGCCCAGCTATAAGCTGTAAGAGTGAACTGGTAATCTGTACTGACATAGAGCACGCTACCAGCGAAAATTGTACCAAGTGACAACCACATTTTTATTGTTGGCCACGGCTGGTGCAAGTAGAGGGTCTCTCCTATCGCAACAAAGATGGGGACTGCTGATCTGAAGACAATAAATGTATCAACATTGGCGTGGAGGAGAAGCTCACTGTTTGTGAAAAGAGACAGGTAGAATATAATTGCTGCAGGTAGGAACCTCCACATTGTTAGAAGATCAAGTTTATCATGCTCGATAAGATTAAGCCATCCGCACACAAGAACTCCAGCTGCACTTGTGAAGTACTGCAATGCAGTTAGTGCTCCCGGGTACGGAAATTTCATTATGGTCCACTTGTTAATGATGGAGAGCAATGATGCTGAAAGACAGTACCCAGCAGCTATGCCATAAACCGATGCTTGCTCAAGTAAGCCACTATACCAAGTTGATTGAAAACTCTGTGACAGGGAAGAAGCATCCAAAGATGCCCTGGAATCTTCATCTTTGGGATTTTCCACATCTTTTGACATCTAATCTAAATAGACGAACAGAAGAAATTTTCATATAAGTTACAATTAACCATTAACAACTATTAAATCTTTTACCTTTTACTACAAAAACACACAGCAGAAGTTAACCCTGCTGCTTTATGAAGCCAAATCCATTTACTGAATTATCTAGAAACAGTAATTTTGTCACAAACATCAAAACTTCATCTATAAGCAATTGCAATAATGGGGTTCATTGACATTCATAGTATAGAAGATGCTATATCACATATAATTATACTCAACTCGGTGGAATTGTTGATCTATAAGCAGCCCATAGTGGGTGCGCTTTTGTAAAATGTAGAAAATAGAACTCTTAATTCCATTCATATCTGACGAATTCAGTACTAGCTTCTCTTTCATTATTTAAACTTCTCTGAACTAACGAAATATTGAAAAACTTTTACTCCATTTTAAGCTATTTTTGTCTATTCCTAAGCAGCTAATTAAGAATTCACCTTATTCTTCCCCAATTTTTTTATTGCGCTGCAGTTTTTTAGCTGTGAGAACATTGAATATTTGAATGCATGGATTGTTCTAAGCCCCTAACGCCTAGAGAATTGGTTTGGCAGATCAAAAACTTCAGCTCCCCCTCCATTGCTATTTCACTCTGCATTAGTCTTCAGACAAAATTGCAGCTACAAAACACCAGCATTGACAGAAAGTCCGAAGTTTATTTAGTTGTTCCATCCGAAATTCCTTATTTATTACCACAAAAGGCAAACCCGTCTTCATATTTATGAAAAATGAATGTCATCAAAAAGATTATGTGACATTATTCACTGTCTTTCCTTTCCTTCTTTTTTTGGCTGATAAACCCCATTATTTAAAAATGGTTCAGACCCTGTATTTATGCAAAGAGATCCACTAATAATTGATTTCGAACCCAGTAAAATCAAATGGTCCATGGAAGAAATAAATACAAATGATAACTGCCTCCTTAATGATTCAGATGCATACCTTGAGCAGAATATAGGTAGTAATTTTTTCACAACCACTAGTTCCCGCTGCGCCGCAACCTGCAACAAAAGTAGTCATTCAGCTCTACATCTTACAAAAGGAAATAGCCGATAAAGATTAAGAAATGGGAGAAAGAAGATTACCGGTGCTGAATCCGGCGTCGGTAGCGGTGGCTCGTATACCGCAGAGAGAATGGGAGCTAGAGAGAGCTGAGAGCAATAGGAAGTAAAGCGTATGTCGCTTACTAAGCCCTTCATTGTTTTTCGAATGTCAGAATTTAAATCCTCAAGTTTTTCAAAGCAACAAACAAGCCCTTAAAGTTTAACAGCTAAGGAAAATTGTTAAGGTTCTCCGCTTCTAGGGGTGTCAAAGGTTCGTTTCGGCCAGTTATTTTATAAAATTTATATCATATTAATTTTTTAGTTATTTTATTAAGTATAATTAAAATTAGACTTTTCGAAACCGTCTCAATCATGTCGGTTGCTCTTCGGTATCGATACGGTTCGGTTAATTTGTTTTAAGTATCATATAAAAGTCACCGGTAGAAGTAGAATGCATAACATACATACTTTTATAGGACTTAGCAAAACTCTTTAGATATTTTAACTGTTTAAATGGTGATGAATTAAGAAAATATGAAAGATGGCCTGAGTGTAGATCCATCAACTATGCTACATCAGCGTAAAAGAAACTAAGCAAAGACAAAAAATAATATAAATCACACGAGTGAAAAGATATTAACTAAGTTGGGACTCAAGAATAAAGTCTATAGAAAATTATATATTCAAAAAGATAAATGTAAATCATATACATTGTAGTTTGATACTCATAATTGCTAAAATATATTGTCTCATGCTAGTAAATATGCAGGAAATAATTTAGTTTCAGTGGGAGTAGCATAATAAGTTTGGGAATTACGATTTTGAGTCTAATTACTTGTTGGTTTGTAACTGTTTTCATAATTCCAAGGCCCAAGGAAAAATTGAATACTTTATTATTTTTAAACTTAATATATAAATATATTTTTCACATATAAATTTATTCGGTATGGTTCAGTATTTTTTTGGTTTATTTTCATAAAATAAAAAACTTGTCCTAATTATCGGTATAGTTATAGATTTATATAAAAACCTAAGATTTTATCAAAAAATACCAAAAAATTGGTTCGATACGATACAGTTCGATTGATATAGTCGATTTTTAAATATCTATTGACGCGTCTATCCACTTTTATAGCGAGAGACTCAGCCACTCGGGGGTGTGCATTATTTGGATTATTATGCCAATTCATAACTGTGAGTTTTCAGTTTCGCTTTTTTATTTTTTGTTTTGGCTTACTTTTAAATGGGGAATATAAATTTTTGTTGTTCGTTAGGATTTTGCTGTTAAAAGAATGAATTAGCTATAAAAATTGATATTTTCATTTTCATAGCAGAAAGGATGGAACGTTAAAAAAAAAGACAAAAACAAAAAGGGGTGAAACTAATAAGAATGTGACGAGTACAAAATCAGTATATAAAATTTAAAGTTCGCTAGTCAAATATAATATAGAAAAATATTGTGTTCACAAAGACTAATTTAAATAATACTCAAATAATTATTGGCTAATCGATATTCAGGATGAATTACACTTTTGAATTGAGATTTTTAATGACTACAACTATCAAACTAAAATTATGACCAAGTAAAATCAATCACAGCAAACTAGATATTTGAGCTAAGACGGGTTATTATCAATATGAGAAATAAGGGTTGCGACATGATAGGTGCAAGAAAGTTATTTGGGATTTAACTCTATTTAACTTTACTTAAGATGTTCTAATGATTCTCACGAATTAACTAGATAATTATCTTAATTGTAAGATCAAGATTCTTCTCTCGAATGAACCTAAACTCTACTAGGTAAATTAATATGAATCACTATGAAGATATGCAAGAAAACACAAATGGAATGGTCTCTAGACAAACGTCTATCGAATATTATCCTAACTATGTTTAATCAACAATTCAAGAAGCTCTTTTGATTACCTAGAAGAATCAATAACTAAATCAAATAAAATATTGCAAAGATAATCATCAAAATATTTTTCTATTGATTAAATAAATCGGTGAACAAATTTGCAATCAATTCAAAGCCACATAAACGAATTCATGCAATTAAATAAGAGTTAAATCCATAAATAATGCTCAAAATACCATATTCATCGAAACTATAGGGAAGAACTACTCCATAAATATGGAGAAATTCATCATAAATAGGTTAAAAAACAAAGACAATATTGAATTTAACGATTCGATACAAACTTCTATTTTGCACTAATTGTTGATTAAAAAGTTGATAAAATTATGCGTCTTCTTGCCGTAGCCGCTCTACAAAGATTTTCAAAGTCGAATCTCCCGTCAAAAATGAGTTAATGATGTTTTTATACCTAAGTAGTCTTGGACTGAAATAGCCGTAATGGCCCCCCCAAAAAAAGTACATTGAGCCAAAATTACAATGAATAACTGAAAACAATAATCACAATCCCTTTAGAACATATAATGACAACTCAATATGGTAAAACCCATATTTGGTTACGAAACATCAAATAGAAGCAAGACATGTGATGAAATGTTAAATATAACAAATAACTCAGGTAAGTGCAAAACATAAGCTTTTAGAAACAGCTATGAGAATGAAATATCAACCTCGTCTCAACACAATCACATAAATAAGAAGACACCCCGAAATATCACATAACATCATCAAAATGCCACCCTTATTACGCCACATATGCATATAAAAATGATATGTTATCCTTATTTCGCCACATGCATATACAACCAACCTTATTTTGCCCCACACGCATAATAATAGATAAAATTGCATAACAAAAACCTCGTGCTGACACCCCCAATCAATTAGCTCAACATGTCCATAAGTGCCACGGTACCACAAAAATAATAATGTCAAGCACCACAATATCACAATAATGGTACCAAAGTTTTATCAAAGTATAAGTTCACAACTTTTAGTAACCGTGCACGAGAACATAATAAATAATCATAGAAGCGGAGGGGTGTTCAATAGATAAAACATGATTATGGCTAAGGCAATGCAATGATCATGATCAAAAAGTCATAAAGTGATCTCACAAGTTTCATATAAAGTTCATTATCACATTAAGGCATATAATAGCCTACAGTCTATTCTGGTCAAAATCACACATAGTACCCGTATACACGCTCATCACATCATGTAAACGTCACTTATCACATCACAAAAATCAACAAAATAGGGCTAGAACCTAAGGGGTATTCTCCCATACAAGGTTAGGCAAGATACTTACCTCAAATACGCTAAATCAATTCACGAATAAGCCCCTCCCGTGCAAATCCACCCCCAGGCGGCTCAATTCTAGCCAAAATAACTTAATATCATAAATAAAAGCCATAGAAAATGATTTCGGATAATAAAGTTTCGATCTTTAATTAAAATAAAAAAAGTCAACTCAAAAAGCCAACCCCAGGCTCGCACCCTCGAACCCAACCAAACTCATAAATTCTGAACACCCATTCAAATACGAGTCCAACCATACCAATTACATCCAGTTCCGACCTCAAATCGATTTTTAAATCAGCAAATCTCACTCTCTAATAACATAGTTCAAAAATTCCCAAATCTCATCTTTAATTAATGTAAATTAGGTATAATAATCTACGAGTAATTAATATCTAACACCAAAATCAAGTAAGGATCACTTAACCCTTCAATTGTGATGAAAATCCCTTCAAACATCGCCTACAACCGAGCTCCACAACTCCAAATAGTGAAAAATGACCAAACCCTTCAAAACATAAAGTATGCCAGTGATTTTGCATCTGTGGTCACTTAACCGCATCTGTGGTACCGCTTATGCGGATAAAAAGTTGTATCTGTGATCCCTCTCTCAGCACCGACCTTCTGCTTCAGCGGCTCTATATACGTACTTGTGCTTCCGCTTCTGTGGACAATGCACCACATTTGCGGTCCTTGCTCATCCAGCCCAAATTCGCTTCTGCGGAGGAATATTTGCTTCTGCGCTTCCTTGTCCGCACCTGCAGACCCACCCTTCCCCATCCAATCACCGCATCTATGGCCAACCAACCGCTTCTGCGGCGCCACACTTGCAACCCAATAATCGCAGGTGCGAAAGCACCATAACTCAGCAAACTTCAGCAATGCAACCAAGTCTCAAAATGGTCTGAAATCAATCCGAAACACATACGGGGACCCCGGGATCCCGTCCAAGCACACCAATCAATTCTAAAACATAACACGAACCTACTCGAGGCCTCAAACCACACCAAATAATATCAATACTATGAATCACATCTCAATTCAAGCCTAATGAATTATTGAACTTTCAACTTCCAAAACCCATGCCGAACCATATCAAATCAGCTCGGAATGACCTCAAATTTTGCATGCAAGTAGAAAATGACACAACTGACCTATTCCAACTCACGGAACAAAAATCCAAACCTGATACATCAAAGTCAACTCCCGGTCAAACCTATCAACCTTCCAAACCTTTAACTTTTTAACTTTCGCCAAAAAGCACAATATCAACCTACATATCTCCAAATACACATCCGGGCATACACCTAAATCCAAAATCACCATATGAAGCTATCAGAACCATCAAAACATTATTCCAGAGGCGTCTACATAAAATTCAAACTCCGATAAACTCTTACAACTTAAGCCTCTAACGTTGGTACTAAGTATCCCAATTTACTCTAAAACCTCATCAAAACCAAACCAACCACCCCGACAAGTCACATAACCACAATATGCATAAGCAAGGCATAAAATAGGGAAATGAGGCTAAAATGCTCAAAACGACCAGCCGAGTCATTACATTCTCCCTCTTTTAAACAAATGTTTGTCCTCGAATGAGTATAGAGACATACCTGAAGTGCCAAATATATGAGGATATCGGCTCCGCATATCATGCTCGGTTTCCCAAGTCACCTCCTCGACCAGTTGGCCTCTCCACTGAACTTTCACCGATGCAATGTTCTTCGACTTCAACTTCCGAACCTGGTTGTCCAAACTACCGGATCCTTAGCGTAGGTCAAATCCCTGTCTAATTGCACTGAGCTGAAATCTAACACATGTGACGGATCACCATAATACTTCAGGAGCATGGAAATCTGGAACACCAGGTGAACTCCCGATAAGCTAGGTGGCAAAGTAAGTCTGTAGGCCACCTCACCCACTCTCTCAAGAA